CACACACACACAAATGCAACTAGACAGAGGGCACTCAAGAGAGTGCATACCTCCGCGAGCGTGTAACATGTATACATGTGTATAACAGCTGGCTCGCTGCTGGCTGCTGCTGACTGCACGCCCTAAGGCGAGCTGCTGCTGACTGGACGTCCTAAGGCGAGCTGGTGCTGAATCGATCGCGACCAACGCGGTGTACAATGTATACAGTTTATAACAGCTGGCTCGCTGCTGGCTACACAACACACACGAACACACACACGACACACACACGAACACACACACGAACACACACAAGAACACACACACGAAAACACACACACGAACACACACACGAACACCACCACGACACACACACGAACACACACACGAACACCACACACGAACACACACACGAACACACACACGACAGTGATCACATACCTCCCTGCAACTCCGTTGCGCGGAGGTAATGATGCACACACACACACACGCACACACACACACACACACACCACACACCACACACACACACGCGCACGCGCACGCACACGCACACGCACACGCACACGCACACGCACACACACACACAGCGCACATACGCACACCCGCACACCCGCACGCACGCACGCAGCACGCCACGCACGCACGCACGCACGCACGCATCACACACACACACACACACACACACACACACACACACACATTACGACAATAGCACGCCGCCGCCACCGCCACCACCACCACCACCACCAGCAGCAGCAGCAGCAGCAGCAGTAACAACAACAACAGCAACCGCAGCAGCAGCAGCAACAGTAGCATCAGCAGCATCAGTAGCAGCATAAGCATCATCATCATTATCAGCAGCAGCAGCAGCAGCAGCACAGCAAATCACAGCAGCAGTAGCAACACGTCAAGGCAGCAGCAGCGGCACACCGCAGTGGCACACAGAAACCTATTTGCTTTCCAAAACGCAGTTATTCGATTCAAAAATCGATTGAAATTACCATAAAGCATTTATTCTGTCGTTGTAATCGTGCAACGTCTTAGCCTAGCATCACTGCTACAGATGTGTTGGAGAGCTGGAACTACGCGAGAAGCCATGGAGATCGAACCCCGAACAACTGATAAGCATACTGCAGGCAATGGTTCGTCAAGATGCATCTGAACAGAGAAAGAAGAAGCCTGCTATGTCAGTTGACGACGCCCTGAATACAATCACTTCACCACTGACCCCAATCACTAGGTATGCAACTTACCTAATCACTCGCTCGAAGGGTGTGTAAGACCTTGGAGTAATCATTCTGACCGAATGATTACTCCAAGGTAAGACTAATAGATGTGATAATATAGCTTGTGATATAGGCTCTCACCTTGCACTATGCAGACTATATATAATATATAATATCCAGTTTTCCTAGGTGAGGGTTTTCTACGCGCGTCAATGCGTCTGCTTACACCCAAACCTCCCAGCGAAACAATAAAGCACACAATTTGTGTGTATTTCAATGATCAGGAGGATCCTCAAGTGGTTGGTTCCAATAGGACAAATCAACGTTTCACAAAGGGAAGCGACCAAGAACTGCGCAGTGTTGCAGATGGACAAAATGCGGCAGGGTTACACGAGATTGGCTCAACTTATGGTATCACAGGTAGGATTCGCACAAATAAAGGCATATTTGATCGTAGGCACGATTCCATGGGTCGAGAATTTGCGTACTAACTGCAGTTGATTGGATGCAGGTTCTAAAGAAAGTTAGAAAATACAATAACTGTTGACATTTGTTTTGCTTCGTGCGAAATATGAATTCGATCATTTCATCTTCGGCAAAAGGCCTGTACTGGTGTAATAATAATCTACAGATACTTTACAACCTATACGCACACCGATCGTGGCATTACGGTGACTACCTATTTGCGTTGCAGATGACAACATCAGTCAACATGGCGTCTATCGTCAATATGTCTATAGCGTTTCATCGCACCGTCATCTACTAGTGTAACTTACCGAGTCGATCTTAGCATCCCGATGATATGTTTCAGACGAGAATTCCTGACGCTGATCTGATCTTCTTCTTCACGCACGATGAACTCGGAGAGCTGCTGCGAACACGCTCCGCGAAACTCGTCCGCAAGGCGCAGCGCCGCCGCAAGATGTTCCCCGCGTTAAGAGCAATAAAATTCCCCGAATTCAGCTTCGGCTATCCAACGCCAATCCAAGACATCGCAGAAGAAGAGACGCACGATAATGTATCGTACAGGTTGCAAGGTAGTGATTGCGCTAATTTATTGAAGAGAAGGATGTTGGGGATGCGGATGAGGATCGTATGCGAGGATGCCATTTACGTACACGCACTGGTTGATGAGCGACACCTTGTTCTCTGTAACTTCCGGCTCCGCCGTGTCCTCGCGAGTTCCCGTGACGTCGGCACCTCGGCGACGTAGCGCTTAAAGTAAATGACGTAGGGACGATGTTAAGCACGCAAAAGAGAGCGTGGTGACGTGGTGCACAACGCAAATTCTGACCTTACTACTTCGTTGGAACGGCACTGCCCGCCTCAGTTCCATTCATACCTTATAAGGTATAGCGATTGGGACATCGCCACCTCGGCGACATAACGCCTAAAGTAAATGGCCTAAGACCGATGTTACGCATTTAAAACAAAGCGTGGATGCCGAACAGTTTGTGCGCATTGCAAATCCTTTCAATTTGATTGTGAATTGTGATTCAAAATTTTCACTTTGGTCGCAGCATCCCGCAGCAATTTTCCCTATGGCAATATACATGAACTGGTTGCAAGCCAAGATAAATACCTTCGGCCGATCTTGGGCATTCAATCGACGTCACGTGTGCATTGTAAAATCCCATCTACAAGATTCACTTTGCTAGCAGCATCGCGCTCCTGATTCCGCGTATGCTAATTGTACATGAAGATGGCGCTCGCGCGTTGGTCACCCACCTATCACTGCCAAGATAATTTTCTTCGGCCGTTCTCACACGTTCAACGGCCCGGAAACCGGACCCTATCATAATAATATCTAATTTATTATTTATTAAATAAATCTATGCTGAGATACTGAGATGACTGCCGAAAACTGTATAATATAGCTTGCTGAGAGAGAGAGAAGGGTGGGAGACTGAGAAAAGGCGGTAGGGATGATAGCTGAGCGGCTGTAAAAGAAGCAGGAGGTTGAGCGAGGGACAAGGGGCAAGGGGAAGGACGGGAGGGGGTGAAGTAGGTGTTTTACACGCTACAGGCTATAGGGCGCGCTCCTAATTATAAATACAGGTCTACTGATAATGATTTATTACATAAATCAATGCTGAGAGACCCCCTAATCATAAATAAATTGTCATCACAAAATATAACTCTTCTGGTGAGATATTGCGCATGCTCTAACACACGAACGTTGCCAGATTGTGTACTGATCATGACTGGTATATGCAGCGCGGACCTTACATGCCATAACATACCATATAAGATCTTCTTCTTATTTCTTAAGTAAGGTCTACTGATGGAATGTTATCATATAAATCTATGCTAGGATAACTCCTCTTCATTTCAAATGCATAATTATTGCATAATATTAATTTTCTCGAGAGATATTGCGCATGCGCGAACACCGTTATTAAATCACCGAGTTGCACTCTCTCCCTTTTTCTCTTACCCCCTCTTTCTCTTACTCCCCCTCTCTCGTTTTCTCGCGCGCTCTCTCTCTCTCTTTCTCGCTCGTTCTCTCTCGCTCTAGTGAAATGAGCAATTTCAACAAATTAATATAAATGTGTAATGACGTACGCGCTTAATACCTGCGGCATTATGCCGCTACGTGGCGCGCCTGCTCGGCCACAGTAATTGAGTGGCAAAGCAGAGGTTACAAGCTTTTTGCAGCTTTTTTTCACAACTCCAAGAAAGAGTTCTGCTGTCGCCCTCATCTCAGCGATGATCACCCCTACATATTCAATAATGATCCCGACCTAAACAATGCCCCCCCTGTACATAGTCATGTGATAGTCAGAATGAAGGCAGTACATGTACTCAAAAGTACCTCAAATACCATTTCCCACACTCAGACACGTGCCGCAGAAACGCGCGCGCAAATGGTCTCCCTCTGGGTGGAGGGACACACCCCTGATTGCTGTTTTCTGATTGGCCACTTGGCAAAAAACGTCCAACACGCCAACTCCGAGTTGGCAAAATTAGAACATGTTCTAATCTTCCAACTAGTTGCTATCGATCGGTTGGACGCGCAACTTTTGCGTTTACACTGACGATTGTCAGTTGCGAAGTTTCGAAGTTGGTACAATTCGGCGATTCTCCAACACAAAGTTGGCAGTTTAAACCCATGCAGCTTTAGCTGTAATGAATACGCGCATTTAAACGCTTTACTTTAAGCCTGGGATATAGGCCCTACCATGAGAATTTATTCGCACGTCCGCACGTCCGCACGTCCGCACGTCCGCAGCGAAAATATCAAACATGTTTGATCGCTGCGAATTTCGATGCAGATGAAATTCGCAGCGAAATTCGCCCGTGCATTAGCGGACACACCATGCGAATTTCGCTGCGATTTTACAATCGCTGAGGACGTGCGAATAAATTTGCATGGTGTGTCCCCCGCTTTAAGAGAAGAACCACGAATTTATGATACTACAGTCAAACATGTGTTAGCAACCCCCTCTATAGAACGACTACCTGTCTATAAAGGCCAATTTCTGCGATTCCCGTGAGAGGGAGTTATACAGTGGAAGCACCTACATAAGGAACTGCCACCTCTCCATAAAGCTGACTTTTGGTGCTCTTCTTGAGTGGCTGCTATACACAGGTTTAACTTTGTATGAATGCTACGTTTGTTAATATGCACCTACGTACACCCATGATCTAACCAGTTGGCCCAATTGCCCGTTGAACCTTAAGTGGTTATAGTGAGACCGACTTTACCAATAAAATGTATTAGCGTCAGTTGCCGAAAAACCATGGCATCGAATAACGCGAAAAGTAATATTTCCCATCTCGTCTATACAGTTAGGTTATAGAGCAAACAGGTACACTTCCTTCAACTCCACAGAGGACAGAAAAGCTTTGATGGAAATGGCTATTTTTGGGAAAACTGTTTATCCAGAACTGGTAGACAGCATAGAAAGACGATTTAGCAGTGCCCGAAAATCCATACTGCAGAAATTGAAGGCCGACGTGAATAGCTTCTACCTTGTAAGTATATTAGCACTGTGCATCCCTCTATAGTAACGTCTATAGCATAAAGACCTATACGATGAATAATTTGATTGTATGTGATTAATTGTATTCAAACTAATCTTAGTACATTCAATAAACTTGCGTTACGAATTGCGCTGAAATACAATTGTCTCATTTGTTTTATACCTCTGACTTTTAGGCATTCAGAAAGACCAGAAGCACGAGTAAATTGGCAGTGAAGTATGTGGAAGCCTTAGAGCTAGACCTATCTGTGGACAAGGCTGAGACGTTGTATGCCGCCATTGACCAAATCTATCGCGCATGTTACGTGGTAAGTAGCTATACTACTAAACTCATTTAATTAGGGGGCACGCACAGGCACGCAACCGCACGCGCGCACACACACACGCACACACACACACACACACATGTACACACACACGCGCACACACACACACGTACACACACACACGCACGCACACACACACACACACACACACACACACACACACACACACACACACGTTACCACACATACACGCCGAACACACACACACACACACACACACCCACACACACACATGCCACACAGCGCGCACACTAACATATGCATGATGCACCACACAGACAGCACACACACACCACATGACACACACACACACACAGCACACACACAGCACAGGCACCACACACAACACGAGACACACACGCCGACGCACCGCCCGCGCGCGACTGCACGCACACCACGCACGCACGCACACACACACGACACAGCCACACACACCATCACATACAGCACAACACGCACGCACGCCACGACGCAACGCCACGCCACACACACACACACAACGCACACACGTCTAAGCACACACGCCACGTATCTTTCCTGCAAACAATATGAAACTAAACGATAATTATGTTAGTTTTTGACTTACTTTAGTGATAGTAGCTTAGACCCAAATAATCGAAAGATAGAAAGGCCAGCGATTTCTCAAAACTTTTGCCCGTTTTCGCTAACTTTAGGTTTGGCGGGTAACCATTTCTGGAACTCCTTTCGGCTCTGGAGGTTCCTTAAAGCCAATCTTGATAAGAGCCGTACTAGTTAAAGGAGAATCAAGTAAGCACTGTATCATATATGAAATAACTTTGATAGAATGTCTATATCGTATTCTACGCGCCATGGGATTATTAGTCATTCCGTTGCAGTATATATTAGTGTAACCGGATTCGGATATCTTCGAAGTCACTGCTGACTAGAGCAATTTGTATAACGCCAGAATTCTGAAAGTATATATATATATAGCGTATACTATACTATATGCTATTGTAAAATGTATATGATGGCAGTATATTAAACAATCGATATAACGCAACAACATAGATTGAAGCTACTCGTTTTTGATCCAGCTCATCACCAATGGACGCCATGTCGGCATCTGGCATGTCTGATGTTCTGGTGGTGCGAATGCCTGTCAATGGAGACTGCTCCTTGCGAGCTTGCGATTAGGCTCAGCAGCCGCCATTCCGATCATAACTGCCCACTAGCAGGCTGCTTTTTGGATCTAAACAGACACGATGCCGTGAAGATTGCTCTGGCTACAGAGCAGAGTGGCGACGCATAAGAAGCCGTCTACGACGATTTCCTCAATAAGCCACGGCCTATACGGCTAGAAAGATTAGAGCGAGAGAATCGAGCACTAAGGCGTACGGCGGGCCTACCACATACACACGCCAACACACGCCACGCGCCGCGGCCCGGCGCACGAACACACACACACAACACACAACACACACACCACACACACACAACACAACAAATGCAATTGGATGCACACCACACACACGACACACACAACACACACACACACACACACACGACACCAAATGCAATGAGTGCACACACAGCACACAACACACACACCATCCACACACACCACCATCAGCAGCACACACCACACACACACCACAGCCGCACACAGCACACACACACACACAGTACGCACACACACACACCACACACCACACGACACAACGACGGCTACGCACACACACACACGCAACACACACACACACACACACCGGAGCACACGCACAATCCACGCACGCACTGCGGCACACACAACACACACACACATACCGCACAACACGCACACCCCGCCACGCAAGCACGCCACGCACGCCACACACACAGACACACGACAGCGACAAAGTCGTCAAACTAGACAGAGGGCACTCAAAGAGGAGTGCATTAACCTCCGCGAGCGCCGGTGTAACATGTATACATGTAGTTATAATCAGCTGGCTCGGCTGCTGGCTGCTGGCTGGACTGCACGCCCTCAAGGCGAGCTGCGGGCTGACTGGACGCCCTAGAGGCGAGCTGTGCTTGAATCGATCGCGCCAACGCGTGTAACATGTATACAGTGTATAACAGCTGGCTCGCTGCTTGGCTCACATCACACACATCGAACACACACCACGAAACACACACACTAAACCACACACGTACGAACACACACACGAAGCACACACCACGAACCACACACACGCTACGAACACACACACGGAAACACACACACGAACACAGCACACGATAACACACACAATGACGAACACACACCAACCACGAACACACAACCACGAACAGCGATCACACATTACCTCTCCCTGCAACTCCGTTACGCGCGGATGGTACATGATGGCCGACACACCACACAACACGCCAGCCCGTCCTAGCGGGCATTGCACACACACCACACACACACACACACGACACACACACACACGGCACGCACGACGCACACGCCACACGCAACACGCACACGCACACCGCACACGCACACTACACAACAAGCGCCACAGTACGGCACACACGCACACACGCACACACGCACGCACGCACGGCCACGCAGCGCACGCACGCACACAGCACACACACACACAGCACATTTAGGACAATACCCGCGCCACCACCACGACCAACCACCACCCGAGCAGCAGCCCAGCAGCAGCCAGCAGCGCAGTCAGTAACATAACAACGCCCCAGCCAGCAGCCAGCAAAGCGAGTAGCATCAGCCAGCGATTCAGTAGCAGCAAAAGAATGTCCAACAGTAGCCATCAGCTGCATCTAGCATCAGCATGAAGCATCATCATCATCATCATCATCATTCATCCATTTCATCATCAGCAGCCAGCGCCATGCAGCCAGCCAGCAGACAAGCAAAATCACAGCAGCAGGTAGAAAACAAACGGTCAAGGCAGCCAGCAGGCCGCACCCCGCAGTTAGCACACAGACAACCTATTTTTCTTTCCAAAACGGCAGTTATTCGATTCAAAATCGACAATGCATCAATAAAGCATTTCATTCTGTTGTTTGGTAATCGGTGCAACGTGCTTGAGTACTTAGCATCACTGCTACAAGATGTGTTGGAGAGCTGGAACTACGCGAGGGAAGCACATGGCAGATCGAACCGCCGGAACAATGCATGAGCACACTGCAGGCAATGGGTGCCGTCAAAGGATGCATCTAAACAGAGAAAGAAGAAGCCTGCTATGGTCAGTGGACGACGCCCTAAAATACGATCACTTCACCACTGACCCAATCACTACGGTGTGTTAACTTACCTAATCACTCGCCTCGAAGGGTGTGTAAGACCTTGGAGTAGATCATTGTCTGACCAAATGATTCACTCCAAGCGTAAGCACTAAAGATGCTGCATATAGCTTGTTGATATGAGGCTCTCACCTCGTTGACTTGCCAGACGTATTATATTAATACTATAATATCCAGTTTTCCTAGTGGGAGTGTAACGCCTATAGTGCTCCAACTTCCCAGCGAAACAATAAAGCACCAATTGGCGTGTATTTCAATGGATCGCAAGAATCCTCAAGTGCGTTAGCTTCCATAGGGACAAAATCACAACGTTCACAGGAGGGTAAGCGACCAAGATACTGTGTGTAGTGTTGCCAGATGGACAAAATGCGGCCAGCGTTATACACGAATTGGCTCAACTTAGTGGTATCACAGGTAGGATTTCGCACAATTAAAGCCATATTTTGATCGAGTAGGCCACGATTTCCAAGGGTTTCGAGAATTGCGGGACCAACTGCCCGAGTTGATTGGATGCAGGCCTTCTAGAAGAAAGTTAGAACAATACAATAACCCTGTTGACAATCATCTGTTTTTGCTTCGTGCGAATGATATGAATAGCCGATCATTTCATCTTCGGCCAAAAGCGCCTGTACTGGTGTAATAATAATCCCTCAGAGCTACTTATACCAACCTATACGCACACCGATCTTTGGCGCATTTCGGTGACTACCTATTTTGCGTGCAGCGATGAGAACATCACGCAACATGGCGTCTATCGTCAAATATCGTCTACAGCGTTTCATCGCGCATCATTCTACTAGATGTAACTTACCCGAGTCTCGGATGCTGTAGCATCCCGGGATGATGATGTTTCAGACGAGATTCCTGACCGCTGATCTGATCTTCTTCTTCAACGCACGCCATGAGACTCGGAGAGCTGGCTGCCGAAACACGCCATCCGCGAAACTCGTCCGCAAGTCGCAGCGCGCCGCAAGGATGTTACCCCGCCGGATTAAGAGCAGTAAGAATTCCCGAACTGTCAGCTTCGGCTATCCAACGCCAATCCAAGACATCGCAGCAAGTGAACGAGACGCACATAATGTATCGTACAGTATGCAAGGGTTAGTGATTGCGCCTAGATTTATGATGATATGTATATATATAATTACTATACATATATTATATCAAGAGCGTATAAGAAGGTATACCTTTCTTTATACGCTCTTGATCTATATCTCATCTCTCTCTCTCTCTCTCTCTTCTCTCTCTCTCTCTCTCTATATATATATATATTATATATATACTATATATAATATTGTTGTATTCATCAGAGTTATATAAGCAGATACGAACTCCATTCGTTTCACAATGCGGCAAGAAACCCTGCCGGTCGAAGCTTTGGTGCGTCACTTTCCGCCTGTAATAGAACACGCTTGTAGAATACATTTTTAGCTTATTTATTAATAAAGAATCACGCCCGTGTCATGCTGCTGATTGTGAAGGTTATGGCCGGTGCTCAGTCACGGCGAGTCGAGTGCCGCCAGTTACGCGTGTAGGAGTGTGGCTACGGTCGGCCGCCATGCGCAACGCCATTCAGGCTGGAGAGCATCCTTGATCACGACGTTACAGATGTAGGACTTGATGCCGCTCCCCTACTATTGGTTCATCGGTGGGACTGGGTTACCGAGAAAGGGTGGTGACTCTCGTGTCGCACGGGTAAATTACTAACTAAACTTGTGTCTCTACCAAATGTTCATCGTTATAGTGCTATCAGGTAATTCGGAGTCGCACGCGCCGTATACGTACAAAAACATGTACGTTATATCTACGGAATGGTATGCGATCATAGCTCGTTGATCTGTGTTTAATACCTGCTGCGAAAGCGCCCTTACGTTTAAAACACCTCGTCTACATTGGTTTCGCATTGTTGGTTTGATGGTGATATTTCAGGAATGCCGTCAGTAGCGATGGTGGAGTACGGGCTTGCCATGCATCGTCAGTGCCAAGGAAATGGCGATGACAATATTTAAAAATGGTAAGCAGGATAACCTATACAATTAACCGCCTATATAACCGCATTTTGGTTTGCATGGAAAGTAAGATGGTTCGTCAACAACTCGCGATAATTATTCTAGATTTACAACGTCTCATTAAATACACCGTTCTTTCATGTCCGCTTCTATCTTCTAGGGGACGAAGCCATTCTTAACGGAACGCACTGGCTTATAGAAAAGGCGAGATAAAGAGGAAACCCTCGAACCAGGACAGGTATAGCAGTATAGCACTCTTTGCCAATACCCATAGCAAATGCTTACAGTTTACATTACTGAAATGTTAGAAAACAAAACGCCATTAAAATTTATAAGTGAAACTATATATAAAGTTGTTCAGGTCCAAACTTTGTGGTGTTCGAGCATAAATTAGAGAACTCCGCCAGCCTAGAGGAAACTAAATATTATTTTCAGAATAGCAACGTCTAGGAAAATATTTCTTCAAAAAAGTTTAAACAAAACGTTAAAAATGTATAAAAAAATTTATTATCAATAGATGCGTTACATTTATTAACATTATACATCACGTACGTGGTGGAATCCATGGTGGATACCATGAACGGCCAGTAGGCCGAATGGATAAAGAATCGGGTCCTAAACCATTGATTTCTCGCGGTTCGACAATAGCCACCCCGGCGAAATGCTTTGTTTGTTTCACTTTTGCGACTGTTTAAGTCTAGCTTCTGCGTTACTTCAGTCGTTTAATTTCAAAATTGAAAATTTTTTTACCACATTTAAAGTTTAAGTAAAAATCCAGAATAGCAACATATGCGTAGATGACTAATGATAGACATTGCGCTCTAAACAGA